TACTGGCTCTTCTAAGTGATGCTCTTGTGGAATTCTGTTAAGTGCATAGAAGTAAAAAAATAAATTGGTTTTAAAGTTGTGATTCTCAGCGTAGCTTCCTCACGCTGCGGAGTAAAAGTTGCCTGGGCAACCAAGGCTTCCAATTTCCTAACATTAAAAAAAGAAATCCTACAATCATCACTGCACAAACAGGGGGGGGGTGTGCGCGTCTGTTGAGCTGGCGGGGATCATGCTGCCTGCCTTGGTACGCATGGGCTGTGCTCAAGTTGGCTTTGGGTTGCAAGAGCCCCGCTGCTTTGTACAGAACAGAGCACCCAAACCGTGGATGGCTACGCTGTGCCTTCGCCAGGGGTCGGGGCCCTTGCCGTCGCCGTTCCCACAGTTCCCAGTAGGAGCGGTGGGGGGGGACGTGGGTCGATGGCAGTTACCGCCCTGCAGCTGTCCCAGACAGATGTGCTTCTGCCTTAACGAAATCTCAGACCTTGAAAGACAGGAGGCCGGGTGTTTGTATGAATTCCTTCTATTGAAATGTCATTCTTAATTATTTGTCTGTAGTTTCAGCGTTCCCTCTGCCTGCCTCAACTCCAGCCCTATGTGCCAATTCTGTTGGAAGATCCCAAAGGTTTGGGTTTGGTGAAAGGAGTGTCTGGGTAGTTGCTTCTTATTTTAAAACTGCTGTGACTTTTCTTTTTTTGGCATCGTGTGGGTTCTGTTGTGATAGTGCTGCTGTTGTAGGAAATTCGTGCTTTAGAAAGAATGTACTGGAGACCAGCGCGTGTCTCTATAGGTGTTTTCTGTTGGGAGTAGGTAGGTGAGCAAAGTCAGAATGACTGAGGTCTGGCTGTCGCTGGGGGCTTTCTACTGACGTGGGCAGGATGATTTGCAGAAAATACCCTGTTGGCCGGCAGATGCTGGATAGCGGACTGTCCACGGGGCTCCTGGTGATGCTGGTCGGAGAGGACACGGGGAGATGAGCACTCACCCTGTTCGCGCGGCCGCTGGTGGGAAGAAGCACAAAGGCAGGCGGGTGCCTGCTCCCTGTCCCCTCCCAGCAGGTTCCTGCGGGAGATGGGTGCCCGCTGCTGCACAGGGGCCGGCGCGCCGGGTCGGTCTGTTCCTGCTCCCAGGCTCGCCCTCAGCGGCCGGGCACGCACGCAGCCCCTGCAGAGCCTGGGGAGGGGGCTGCGCCCTCCGGGGCAGTGCTTGGAGGGAGCTGCTGGAGGGGGAGGAAGGCTCTGGTTAATCTCAACAAGTTCGTTACTGGGCCAAGTAGCAGCTCAGCCGGGAGATAACGTCTTTACCAAGTGAGCCACAGTGAGCTGCATCCTAGAATAGTTTTTGAAAGATTACTGGTGCCAGCAGAGACTCCAGCCCATCTGCTCCTCCAGCCTCCCCAGCAGCTTCCCTTGGAGAGCACCCAGCACGCTGGGGGCCGTTGGCAGGAGCCCCGGGAGGAGCGTGCGGTCACGGCGAGTGGCTGCGGGAGCTGGCACCCCATCGAGCTGTCCCCCAGCACCGGGAGGGCCGGGGCTGCTGGCAGCG